ACTTCTGTAATTACTGCATATGAATTACCAACTAGAGGCAATCTTAAAAAAACATTTTTTAAAAATAGCTATCAAGGCATTGTTTGCTGCGGCTGCCCCTTAAATTTCTGGTAAATGGATAGGCAACTTGTCTGGTCCTTGATTAAATGCTATGTATTTTGCCTATCTTCTTTTATTGTATATTTAACCTCCACTTATATCTGCATTTTCTTTAATCTGTACTTTTTTGAGAGGTAGACAATAGCCATTTAACCGTATTTAATTCAATAATTTAAAAAAAAAGTCAGTAGCAATCATATTTGCAGTTCACAATTCTAAGTATCCTCAAAGCACATGAACAGTATTAATATTAATATTTATATTATAATTAAAATAATAAATAAATAAAATATAATATAGGTCAATCAATAAGCCTAATGATAATTATCACTAATACATGTAATCTAATAATAGGGATAAATGGTTTTAATATTAATGACACCAATAATATTATTAAAACATTTACAATGCGCTAATTTCAGACACAACAAAGACTAACACTGAAACTTTGAATGAAATCAGTTTAATAAGTAATCCAAAATAACCAACAAAGGCACAATGGAACTAAACATCCTGAATATGAATTACGTTCTTTTTTTTTGGTTAATATTTTATGTTATAGTCAACAGTATTGCATTTAATCATTGACAAACTAGTCAAGCTTAAATTATTATATAAAATAATGCTGTAAACATTTAGACCTCTCTATCATAACTGAACAAAATATTAATTTTAATAAACAGTATTTTAAAATTATTAACTTTATTTTTTTAGTTATAGATAATCAATTTTATTAGATGTGGGGCTACTGCTGTATGTTACAAGTGTGTAAATGCCAACCCCTACCAGAGAGTTGTGTAGTAGTAGCAGCATACTTAGGCCATAAGTAGGCCTATACATATCACTGCCCATACTAAATTATAAATCAAATGGTTCCAAAATAAACAATAGATGACAATATATAATATAACACATATTTAACTATGAATGAAATAATGCATATAACACATAGGTCTCACTTTGACTTAAGATGAAAGAAACTTAAAAGGTCGTTGTTACTACTAAGCGTGCAAGTGGTACCACTAGGCCAACCTCAGAACCCGGAAGTAGGCGCATAGTGGTTTCAGGCAACGTGGGAGCCACCCACCCAACCGGGTTGGAGGTGGTAACGTTAAACAATGATACTGATTTAGTTTTTAAAATATAATAATCAAGGTTAACTGCTGAAAAATTGCTCACCTTATCTTGTCGCCAATGTAATCATTCCTTTCACAATCGATGATGACGAATTTATACTTCCATTATTAGTTGGAACGACGAATGAAATTTGTCAATCACACCGATACAAAAATGTGGTTAAAAACCACACAACGTTCCATTCATTGGTTTCAGGTAATTAATGATGTATCAGTCAAAATATAATTCCGATAGTTATTAAAACAGACAGTAATTTCCATCGATAAAAATCCAACTTATTAATCAGTAAATATTGCTTCTAACTTAAATCCAACTTATATTTTACCATTTTCAATACACTGAACAATAGGTTTATAGTTCCAGACAGAACGAGAGAAACCACGTTTCTCAACTGCACAACAAAAACATGTGTCCACACACCATAATAGTTCGTCACAAAGCATGTCTCAATCTCCCGCCACTCGCTTTGTTGTTCTTTGTTCAGTCAATGAACTCAGCAGCTAGCTGCCAAAGAAACTCCATGATTGGTCAGTCGAGATACAAGAGCCGACTGTGATTGGTTGATTATTCCAATAAGCAAAAGTAGATATAAGCAAGTTAATAGTACTACATGTGCGATTATGCTGGCAAACAACAAATAATAACGTTTCCAGCGAGAAACACGGCGAAAATTTTACATGATTCGCGTGTAGGCCTATTGTCATGGCTCGGGTGGACGGAGAAAATACGGGAAGACAAAGGAAATATGTAAAGATTTAAACAAAGGATGAGCAATACTAACGACTTGCAGCAGTAGGCTTTGTTTCCAATCTATCATTTAAAATAATAATTTGGATTTACATAATGTGTACAAGTATGCTATATTATTTATTTATGTTTATAAATATTTCTAATTATCTTTATCATTATCACTATCATCGTCATTATCATAATATCGTTATACAGAATACAGAAACTTTGTCCTGAAATAGGACATTCGTTTCATGACAAGCTCTATAATAAAAGCACACAACTTCCAATGATGAAGAGTAAACATTTAAAAATAATATAGATACAACTTGATAAAACCGGAATGGATTAAAATAGGCCTAGTAATTTTAAATTAGTATTTACAAACCTATAATTTTGTAAATAAATGTATTTAACCATTTATTAAAATAATAGTTAAGTTAATCAAAGGTTTAATAGTAGTGGTTTAATCTTTAAAATTTCTTTAATTTAATACATTAAAAAATCGCACCAACAACACAAATTAAGACAGCAGACAATTTAGCAATATTTAACAAAAAAAATTGTAATTTATATATAATTGAGTGTATAGGCCTATACAAATAGGCCTAATTAAAGATTGAAAAACAAAGTAAATTGAATTTAATTATATTTACATTCGGTCACTCCGAATAAAAACAGTTTAAGAACATATGAGTCTTTTAACAAGCGAGTTGTGGCAAGAATTCAGCACAAATGATTTTTTACAATAGTGATTTGGGCACAGTCTGACGTCCGATCCGTAAAGGCCAACTCGGACAGCGTCGTACGACGCAGCCCGACGCGATTTGTTGTCGCGTCGGGCCTGTGTGAGTTAAAACGCAGACGCGATGGTGTGCGTCGGTGGCAGTTGCGTCGTAGAATATTAAACATGTTTAATATTTCTCACGACGGCTTAAGATTGTCCCCAGTGGCGTATCTAGGAGTATCAAAATGGGGCGTGGGGGGCCACCAAAATATGAGGGGGCGTGGAATTTTTATTGCTTCGAAGTTTTCGAATGGGGGGGGGGGCGCCTGGGGGGTGCGCCTCCCCATTCCCCCTTGGACACGCCACTGATTGTCCCCGACGATAAATCGGGTCGGGCTGCGTCGGCCGACGCTGTCTGAGTTGGTCTTAACACTTCTAACCCAGGGTTACTATTCCATTGTTTGGTTTTTAGGGTGGGTTTCAATTAACACGATGGCGTGTATTTCAATTCAATTTCAATTAGAGTATGGGTTGCTAATACCGGTCACTATTATTGAGCTTAATTAGCCATAGGAAAATAATAACCCAGTTATACTTGTGTCAGAAACTCGCGCAAAATATACAAACAAGATTCTACGAAAGCAGAGGTGCCGCCGTCAGGGAGACCTCCCCCCCCCCCACCTTTTGCAGGGGAGAAAAACCAGAATTCGACGGTGAGAAATAAAAAATCGATTAAACCACTAAATTGTCATATTTATTGGTGGGCCTCTACCCCCACCCGGAACAATTTCATGAGATTTTGAGCGACGCCCACCACTTTCCGTTGGAGACATCGGCCCCGCCGTCGTTGACGTCGGACCAACCGAGCAGATCTTGGCGCCACCCGTGTACGATAGCCAAAACAAAATACGGTAATATAATTTGGACAAATATAATTGGGACAAATATAATTGGGACAAATAAAGTTTTTTGAATTTGAATAATATGGTAGGCATTCTTGTTCTTTGTTCATAGGCCTAGTTCAAAAAAATAAATAAAAACCACATGTAAAGCATGCAAAATGTTAATTTTACTGTAATATGCCTATTTTGTGTGAAGTTTTGGCATTCTATAAACCTCGTGTGTTATTACTATTATTAGAGTACGGTAGTGAGTCACTATTGCATACTGTACAGTATAAAAAGGTGGGTTTACTTTATTTGACATAGATTCAAAGTGATTAAAAATCCTTTGGGTTATTAATACTGGGTTTCTATTAGAGGCTATTCATTTGTTTGGTTATTCATTATTTGGTTATTCATTTATTCAGAAATTTCTGGTAATTTTAAAGAGTAGAACACAATAAAGAAAACGTAACGTAAAAAAAAATATATCAAACGAAGTAAAGTTATTTATCAGAATGCGGTTGAAAGCAATATCGAACGCGCTCGAAAAATCACCAAAAAGTACCGTTGTGAATCATTGTGCTCATCATCATTATAATCATCATCATTATCGCTATCTTCATCATCATCCTCATCATTATTATTATCATTTGGCCTACTAGAATTCACTGTCATTCCTAAAAATTATATCGGTAGGCCTAATTGTTTGAGATTCAGTGCTTATCTCACCTAGTATGCGGCATGAGCGTGGAGTGTGTACAGATGGAGCAATTTCCCTGGTAGGCTGAACAAATTTTATAAGAGTAATATAAAAATGTCGTTCCTTTTGGACGAACAATTACAACTAAATAGGCCTACTTAAAAGCAGGGTGCCACCAGGATACACACAGGGACGGATCCAGCGGGTGGGGGGATCCAGCGGGGGAATGAGGGCCCGTGTCCACCTGCCCCACCCCCGTCAGTCAAGCCGAAAAATAAAAAGAAATTTGATTTAACGAGAGGAAGAGCTAAAAAATGAGTGCACCCATGAGTTCAGTGGCGATAAGCAGTGGGCGAAAGGAGAGCTCGATTATTTACCAATTATTGGTGGGGCTGAGGTTGGCGTGGCGGCGTGAAATTCATATTGTGCACCCCCCACCCCGCCTCAGAAAATATCTGGATCCGCCCCTGACACATCCCCTGGTCCTCCTATATAAGTGAACCGTTTCACACTAAGAACAAAGCTTCCTGTAACAACTTGGTTTTGTCTACGATTTCGTATTGTATTTACATCACCAGTAATTCACTGATTTGCTTGAGCCCTTTATGACACACATGCAATCATATAGATCTAAAATGCAATAAATTAATAATAAAAAGAACAATTATTATTATTTACAGTTTGAAACCTTATGAAAGAAATTGGTGCGTGTGTGGGTGTGTGTGTGTTTTGAGAGATGAATTTAGAGAAGTTTCTTGATTTCGTCATAGAGTACCAGAACCAGAGCGCCTCCAGTTCCTCTAAGAATGTTGGAGAACGCGCCTTTGAAGAATGCCCCGCCACCTTCGTTCTTCAATATCTTCCTCCAGCAATCAATGGTTCCCTTATAGATAACGTCTTTGCGACCGCTCTGCATCATCATTCTTCGGCGGACTGTATCGAATGGATACGACAGGACGCCAGCACCAGTTGTCACTACTTGAGCGATCATCCATGATACTACGATCGGTGTGTTCTTCGGATCTGGTAGCATACCTTTCACTGTGTCGTACGTTCCAAAGTAGGCAGCACGGTAGATGATGATACCTTGGACAGACACCCCGAAACCTCGGTACAGCCCGAGGGGTCCGTCTGATTTGGCAATCTTTGTTAGACAGTCTAATAGTCCTTTGAATTCACGCTCCCCGCCAGCCTTTCCGACGTCGGCGGCGAGGCGCGTTCTTGCGAAATCTAACGGGTAAACGAAGCAAAGCGAAGTTGCACCGGCCGCTCCACCGGAGGCGAGATTTCCAACGAAGTACCGCCCAAATTGTGTTTTTTTGTCGACTCCACCTAAGAATATCTGCTTGTACTTGTCTTTGAAGGCGAAATTGAGAGCCTGCGTTGGGAAGTAACGGATGACATTAGCCATGTTTCCGCGCCATAACGACTTAAAACCCTGCTCTTTGGTGACGCGTTTGAAGCAATCCAATATGCCCTTATACTGGTCTTCTGGCTTAATTTGTTTCGAAACTGCTTGAACCTGAAGGTTAAGAAGCAAATTAAATTTTAAATATTGAGATGGTTGCAGCAACAGCAATAATACTAATAGGCATTATTAATGACATGAAATGTAATAAAATGTAATTAGACCTCTTCCAGATTCGTTATTAATGTACTCATCAATCAACTCCAACATTCATCATTTATCACTGTATTCAGACACATGTTGGAAAAGTAATTCATATTTTTAGATAGTTGTTTTCTTTTAGGTTAACAATAATTCGGGAGCATCATTAAAATATTACGACCCTAGTATAACTCAACTGTTAGTGTTATAAGTATATATATTTTAGGCACCTATTGTATATATCATAACGTACAATACAAAAGTATATATAGACCTAGGTGCCTAATTATTGATACATGCCCTAGGTCTAGGCCCCTAGGCCTATATCCTAAAATAGCTTATATATTATTATTAGAATGGTTAATCATGCTACAAAAATCTTAATATGCCGGTAGCACCTATATTAAGGCTAATATTAGAGGCAATACTGTATGGCCTCTGTAAGGCCATGAATATTTATGGAATGTGGCCTGGCGGTACGGATAGTTACGATGAGTTACCTCACTTTATGTTGTTGGTACGACAGGGAAGGTGTTTATTACTAACTATATATTACTACTACTAGGCCTAGCCCTAGGTCTAGTCTATACTAAGGCCTGGCTTAGGCCCTTAGTTACCTGAAGCAGCAACTTAACACGTTCGATTGGTGCTACTGCTGTCTTCGATATTGCTGCTGCCACGCCGCCAGCCAGCAAATCTTTGACAAAACCAGAGACATCGAAACCTGAAGCCATGTTTAATATTAATTATTTTAGATAATTGACTGATTCAGACAGAAAGTATAGCGTGGCCTCTTGCTTAATTCGATCACAGCAACAACGAGCTTCTGACGCGCACTACAATTACGAACAATGCATGCATCGCACACCGACGATACAAGTTGCGTAAAAGAATCTTACGCACTTCTGAAGCTGCTATTGGATGTTTCGTTGTTATATACGTACGCGTGCCATACATTATGCTGCCATGCCACTTGTTGCTTAGAGACGCTAACAATGAGAAAAACTATTGGCGCGGTGGGGGGTTGGGTTGTCTCCGACGAGAGCAAAGTGGGCGTAGTCATTTTAAGGGTTTCAAAGGCTTATTTAATCGATTTTAGAGTTTACTAATAATATGTAGAAAGAAAATACATAGGCCTATATTTTTTTTTTTTTTTTTTTTTTTTTTTTTTTTTTTTCAGGTTATCCTTTTTTTTTTTTTCCTTTCGGCTCTACGAATGGTTGTTTTCTCCCCGACGACTGGTGCGAACCCTGGGCGCATGAGACCCAACTCTCTGTGTCTATACAAGGTGGATTCTGTCGAAAATGTTTCATTGTGGTGGAAACAGATAAAAACTGAACGAACAAAAATCAACTTTTATTACTGACCATAGAAAAGGCCTTAGGGCCTATGATGTGGCGTCAATTGTTGTTGACTATGTTGAGAGAGTGAGATCGTTAACCACCATAGATACTTACGTTTAGAAATTAATAATAAGTTTTTGACTTTTTAAACATTGGAGATTACGTGATAAAATCGTAAAGAAGGGTATGATGGCACACCTACATTTTTATAGAAATTGCGGTCATTTAATGTTGATTATATAATTTAGGTCTATTAATGAACCTTTATTCTTCTCATTGAAAGCAACATTTTATTTGAAAATTTTGCAAGTTTTGATAGTCTCTAGAAAAAGCAACTAGGCATATACTAACAAAGTGACAAATAATGTACTGTAATTTAAAAGAACTGCTTTTGGGGTGCGATTGTAACATTAAAAACTAGATAGCCTATATACTACTGCGGTTTATTCTATTTACAAAATCAAAATTGTAACTGAATTAAAAAAGCCAACAAGTGCAAATCCTTCTTGGATTGTATTATTTTAAAGCCATTGTAAAAGATATGATGAGTAATCTAGGCTTCTGTAAATAATGTTCACTGTGTTTATTATCGTATTAATATAAATTTATTGACGCTGAGTAATTAAAGAATATTTTTTTAATGTAGTGAAGATATGACTGTTAGTTACTAGGTTATTTACGGTACTTTAGGGAGTCCGTATAGGATAATAAACAATATCATTTTATCAGTTAGTCATCAACAAAATGAGATAAAAATGACGCGGTATATAGGCCTATGTTTTTTTATTCTAAAAAAAATATTATTAAATAAACAACATACTCTGATTAAAAATATATTGTATCAGCGTATGAATGATAAAACGTAATATATTTTGATATAAAAATAGAAGAGAAGAAAGTTAAAACGGGTCGAATAAAATAAAGTCTATATTAACAGTGATTACAATTGGATAATAGGTCTACTTAAACTAAACGATATCAAATAGGCCTAACATACCGGTACTGAGCACCCATATGCCTAATGTATCATTAGGGATACCTCCCAAATACCATATTATGTTGAATAATAGGTACACGAGTTTTTATTGAAATTATATAAATATCCCTTTTGTGCATTGCTTGTGAACATATATACGAATATGTTTTTATTTTACTTTTTAATCTTATTTAGAATTATTGAGTGCAAAATTGCAATAATTTTAATTGTTATACGATTGCTTTTCCTTCTTTTATTGTTTATATGATAATCGATGATAATTGTAAAAAAAAAAAAAAAAAGAAATTTAAGATAAAATGTTAAATATCAACACATGTAGTAATGCAGTATAACTAACTGTACTGCAAGCAAATTCATTCAAAAAAAAACAAAAAACCATGAGGCTCGAAAAGGGACGAGGGAGAGGACGATTTTATTTATTTATTCTTATTTACTAACTTTTATTTTATTTATTCGTTCAGGTCTAGTACAAAATGTAGCCCGAATGCTGAAAATGTTAAACTTACAATATCGATATGCAAAATTTAAGCATTATAAAAATGTACTCCTAATTAACAACAAATTTTAGTATAAAATAACATTTAAAAAAAAAACGTTACAAAAAAGTACTGTTACAAATGTAAATTTGATTAATTATTGAGATATAAATAATTAAAATTAAAATTTAGGGTATACTAAAAATTATGGTAATGATATTGATAATAATAATAATGATAAATAAAATCATAATGATGATTATACAATACTGCACTAACATGGCATGGCCGAATAAAATAATAATAATAATATTAATAATAGTAATGATAATATAATAATAATAATAATAATAATAATAATAATAATAATAATAATGATGATGATGATGATGATGATGATGTTGATGAAGACGACGATGATGATGATGATGATGATGATGATGATGACGATGATGAATGATGGTGATGATGATGATGATGATGATGATGATAATGATGATAATATCACAGGTATTCTTCAAACTAGAATTTCATTGTGCTATTCAATTCTAAACAGAAACTAGTGTTTATGAACAATTCTATTTACTTTTTTAAAGAAAATATATTTATGGCTCTACCACATCTGTTCATTCCTTAAACCGTCAATATTGAATATAGGTCTAAATGGATGACCGATATACAGTTAGTATACAGAACCACTTAGTTGGGTTTTTTTTTAAGCACGATTTTTTTTTTTTTTTTTTTTTTTTTTTTTAGCACGGCTCTCCTTTCTTTTATTCAAAAGTGCTGAAAAGATTCATAACAGGTATCAAGTTTTACAGTGCAGATCCACGAATTTGAAATAGAGGAGGCCCAGAGAAGGACTTTCACAGATGAGTGATCTATCTACCTCAGCCCCACGATGGTTGGGGCTGAGGTAAAAAAAAAAAATGATTATGGCACCTCTGGACGGTCGGAAATGGCACTCAGACTTCAATTTGAGTAGAATCTCTATCATCAGGTCTATTCGTATTTTCTAACTTGTATGTACAGTATATTGACGATGTCTAGGGTCGAGGCCTTTTTATAATTATTAATTAATAACAAACGAAATTAATTAAATAGGTGCCCGAAAATGGCACTTAAATACCTACATTTCCAAAAACTACCGTACCATATCCACCTGCTCCCCACCATGTTGGGGCTCTGGTGAGAAAATTTTAAAAATTTGAGACTTATAGATACCCGAAAATCACTTGGAAATAACAAAATCGGCGATACATCCATACCCGAGCCCCAACATGGTTTTGTGAGGCGCAGATGAATAAAAGAATTTGAGACTTTATCGATGCTCGAAAACGGCAACATAGATACATTAACATTATGAAAACTACCAACCATCTCAGCCCACCATGGTTGAGGCTGATAAGGTAAGACGATTGTAAGAATTTGAGACTCTAGATGCCTGAAAATGGCACTTTAATACAAAAAATCTTCGAAAATATTACTACCTATCTGGAAAATATTTCTATATCCACCTGAGCTGGCCCCATGGTTGAGGCTGGGTGAGTACTTTTAAGAATTGGGGACTTCCAGATGCCGAAAAATGGCGATTTAATACTTTAAATGTATTTCAGTTATTTTTTAACATTTAGAAAGGGAAACTTTTGTTCATTTTTTATGAACCTCTGAAGCAACCCCTGGATACACCCTGACTACCACTTATCAACCAAAATGAATGACATTGGTTGTTTGCATTTGCAATAGTTATACACATTTGAAATTCATTTGGATAATGTTATTTTAGGTCACCTGACAGTAATTTTCAGTTTTAAGTTTATTTCTATAAATTGTTATTAAACATTTGAAAGCTTAGATAGATTTACATAATTATGTTGTGGTAAACGGCAACGGAAAAACATTTAGTCATATACATTTTAGAATATTCATTGTGGGCATATAATAAAATATTCTGATGAGGATTCACCGAAAAATGCTGTTTTTAAGTCGTCAGACTGTTAAACTTCACATCAACTGTAAAGTGAGCACATAATTGAATTTTTTGCAAACCTGCTTGCTGACCCAACGCAAAAGATCGGCGACTCATCGACCCCTTTTTGGGTCGCAGCAGTGGCGGATCTAGGATTTAGCAATGGGGGAAAGGGGAGTGCTAACAACTAGAGTGCTAACAAAGCGACCAATCAATGTAGAGTTGTGTACATTATTATAGTAGCCAACATAATTACGCTTTTTAGCATAATGGGGACCCTATAGCATGTAACAATACGCGCATGTCATGAAAACGTAGCATAATGTAGCATAGCCTCATTTATAATTCATGAATTTTGTTATATTTAGAAAAAATAAATTGCCAAAGTGTGACAGTACCATTTCCAAGCATGTGAGGTGCATATTCTTTAAATTTTCCCACCTCACCTAAAAAGTCAATTAGCTAAGGGGGTGTGGCAGCGAACGTGTTACATACATTTTTAGCAAAAAGAAGTTGCATACCCGGGCCGTAAAGGAGTAAAATGTGTTAATTCGACGGCAGTCGTGTATTTATCTAATATTGAGGCATAGTATTCTGTATATTTTACTTCAGCCAATGACATAATTTCACTTTTCGCGGTGGCCACGCTGGTTGTATATAATGTGTACTCTAATCTGGAAATGTGTCCCTCGTGATATTTAAACTGGACTCGACTAACTGATAGGCCTACTGATGACGTTATGTCATTTTGGTTGCCTGGATGGGAAATGGAAAAGCAAAGTACAGTTTTACAGCAAATGTGCAGAAGCAGGTAGGCCAAGGTTACCGATCGCTTGGTGGTGAAACCATTGTCTTCCTTTTACCAAACATCCATTTGCTCGCCTGAGTGATGGCAGTAGAAGTTGTTGTTAGAAACTGTGGAAAATTACTGGAAGGACCCCACTGGGATAGTGCCAGTGATACCCTGTTATTCGTTGATATATCTGGACGGGCAGTACACAGATACGACCCAAACACCGGGAAGAACAAGACAGTTCAACTGGGTTAGTACTGTACATACAGTAGTGGTGTTGTCATTTTAAGTAGGCTATTGGCAATCGTGCATTAGCCTATATTTATTCATGGAGGAGTGGCAGCGCCCAGCGCCAGAAACGTCTGCAGTAGCGGCTGTCAGTGTAAGATATATTTTCTAGGGGACTGTAGGATATATTTACTGAGTGGGGGAGGGGGCTGAGTGAGATAAGGATAACTTTTGGCGCACATATAAATATGTATATAGGCCTAGGCCTATATGTATTTATGTATGATATATGTAGATGTATATAGGCTTATATATATAGGGCCTAGGCCTATGTATATATGTATAAATATGTATATAGGCCTATAAATATGTATAGGTATGTATAAATAAATATGTATATATATATATACAATATGTATAAATAAATATGTATATATATTATTAACTGACAGAGTAGGATCCATGTATGTCTCACAGAAATATATAAATATAAACGTTAACAAAAATAAAACTATTACATATGTACAAGGGCGTCGATCCATGGCTGAAAGTGGGGGGGGGGACGAGATGAAAAATAAAGCTTTGGGCCGTAGGTCCAGGCAGTGGTTGGGGACCAGGGGGCGAAGCTCCGGAAGCTCTGGAGCATATAGCCTTTTAATTGATTTTAAGCAATGCAATAAACATTTATTTCCATACGAAATTTTTAAAATATCCAGTGGCGGATCCAGTAATTTGAAATAGAGCTGGGCCCAGAGAGGGACTTTTACTGATGGAGAGTGTAGCTGGTAAGAAAATTTATGATTATGGCACCTCCAGTTGGTCAGAAATGGCACTCTCAGACTGAATTTGAATATAATTTTAATTTTTCTCCACTTTTAAATTTCGAAAAAAAAAAATAGTGATGGTGGGCCGGCTGGGCCCCTTGAATCTGCCACAGAAATACTCATCATAAAAAATTTTTTAAATTATCCTTTTTATTCATAATTATGCCCGCTTATATATTTTGCGCAAACTAACATTCATAAAAATAATGATTTATTATCTACTGATTAGCTTGTAACATATTCAAAATTTGAACTATGAAAAACAAATAAGATAAACTTAAAACAGTCATTAATTTAATCTTCTTGCATGTACAGTACTTTTAAAGTCAATCAAGAGGTTTTTGCTTTTCTCCTCTTTTTGAATTTCAATTTTGTGTAAGTAATATTTGATAAATTATTGTGAATGGAAATAATACCGTCTAATTTACAAACAGGACTAGGGAGATAGGGAGCACACAAAACATTAGTTAGCATTTTGATTTCACAAACATAAAAGTGATTTACTTAATTTATCATTATCAGTGGCGGCTCCAGGAAAGCAAATTAGAGGGGGGACAGAGAGGGACTTGTACGTTGGAAAAGTAGATCACTTCAGCCCCACCATGGTTGGGGCTGAGGAAAGAAAATTTATGATTATGACACCTCTAGATTGCCGGAAATGGCACTCTCAGACCTAAATTCTAATTCTAATTTTCCTTTGTTTTTTTTTTTCATTTTTTAAAAATAATTTTGAAAAAAATTAGGGCCGGCTCGGCCCCACTTGAATCTGCCACTGATTATTATGGGGTCATTGCGAGACTGCGTCAACGTAACACTGGAGTTTGTAAACTATTGGTAGGCTTATCACTTAATCGAAATAGGTAGACATCATATCCGTGAAATTAGAAAAAACAGTAATTCTATGTATGTAGATAATATTAAACACTAGTAAATACGTACGGGTCATAATAATATACAAAAAGATTAAATCGTTTATATTAGAAATTGTGTACTTTTGAGTTCGTAAAAATATTGGCCTAATTATTTTTTAGTATTTAAACTCATGTATTTAGTGGAACTAATTTGTTGTCATGGGGCACCCCCCACCCCCAGCATATGCCCATGTTGGATGGGATTTGGTGTGAAAAACTCCAGTGATACCCATTAAAAGTCTGAAGACTTGTTATCAATGGCATTGCAGCGGGAGACAATCCCCTACTGGTTTCCAAAGCGTCAGTGTGTATTCATTGTTAACTTGCATAGGCCCATAATTTCAATCTGAATCTCAGTTTATTTCAAACCTCCTGATCGCAGAAGTAAATTTTATGACAAAAATGATTAATGTTTTGGGTACATTTGATCTTGGAAAATAATTTCATTAAATTTTGTGTTCAAATTACATAAAAATACTATAAAATAAATAAGATTCAAAAAAGAAAAGCCAACATTTAATGTTGAATTGTTAAATTAATACGGCGCTTATACACATTTTGGAGTCCAGTGTGGCGCTTATTTGACAGTGGCGCTTATAAAAAGAAATATTGGCGTGGCACTTTCCATGCCATTCACATGCTAGCTACAGTATCGCACGTATTCCCATAGTTTTGTAGGCCTAACATAAGTAAGTCCTACTGTTTAAAAACATTTCCATTATTTTACTATTAAAAATTATAAAAATGGAAGTGTTTCTATAAAAAAAGAACGTTATCGGGTATTGAAAACCATTTTAAAAGCGGACTATGATGACCATTCTTGCATGGCATCTGACCTGCTTTCTGTCAGTCAGAGTAGATCTATAAAACATTCCCTCTAGCTCACAGTGCTTGAGGGAAATTAATATTATGATGATGATTATTATTGCTATCATCCGGCCTGACCAACCAAAAATAAAATTTGGGGTCAAAGCTGTCTTTCCATGGAGACCTAAACAGTATGGTGTATGAATGGAGTACTTTTCAAGCTTTGATTAGTTTAATGCTTTAGCCATGGATTTTAGGTCTCTGAGAAATATTTTACCAGTCAAAATGCATTATAGAAGAATTATGGATAGCCTTAACTCAAGAATAGACTTAGGCCTATCAGAATAAAATTCCTATTGACAGACCAAAGTTTCAAAACTCAAATGGTGCGAGTATTTTTGTTTTGGCCTTAACGTACAAAATTTTGTTTGCCCTACTTGATGTGTTATAAGTACTGAATTCTCAGTACATTCTCAAATGCTTGAGAAAAAAATCTCGAGTGGGCGATTCGGGTGGGAGTCGAACCCATGACCTCCAAGAAACTAGCCTGATATCTTAACCACTAGACCACCGAGCTTGCGCTTGGTGGCTAGTGATGATTCCGGTCCCCGGGCAGCAGGTACTACAATGTATTACACTTATTATTATTATTATTATTATTATTATTATTATTATTATTATTATTATTATTATTATTATTATTATTATTATTATATATTTAATGCTTGCTGTACACCACATAGATAGTTGTCTGTATATTAAAATGTCAAATATATTATTACAAACAAATTGCAAGCCTTTAAAAAATATTATTACAACAGCATTAAACCGCTAAATCTCCTAACATCTACCAAGGTGAAAATGTTGGTGCAGTGGTCCCGACTAAAGACGGACGCTTATTGATTGCCGGACGCCACACCTTCTCATACCTGGACTGGGAAAGTGGGAAGCTGGAACCGATTGCAGCTGTTGAACCGGACAAGCCTAACAATCGATTCAATGATGGAAAATGTGATCCAATGGGACGATTTTGGGCAGGTGCATTATTCTTTAATAACATAATAAGGATTTTATTAATATCTTTTGGACATTCAATTACAAATTATATATATATATACTGTCTCTTATACACATCTTTACCGAG